CGACATGTCTGTTTGTGTTTAGATGTACAAAAACGATTGACGGGTATCGAGTGCGATGATCGCCGTCAAATAGAGGTTCAACAAGCCGTCGCAGCCGCTTTGTCATAGTGCTTAGAGCCAGCTTCAGTAGAAGAGTACCGTCAACGTCGGTCGCCGTCGTTCACTCGACGACATTCCTCTCGATGCCCCCTGTTGATTTAGCAGTTGCAAACACCGTCTCTGCTGAGTCGCCCGCCGAATGCAATGTCGCATGAGAACTTACGAGGATTTACGTATTCGTACGCGTCTGACCCGAGCCTTGACCAGTGGATGCGCAGCCAACCGCTGAGCATCCTCAAGCTCGACCCTGCTGACCGCATCGTGCTCAAAATCGCCGGTATGTAAACACGGCTTCACTTTGTTTGTTTGTACTAGTTACTGGTTACTGGCTTTCTCTTCTGTTGTTCACTGGACAAGATGGTCCTGTCTCCATCTGTCGACAGATGCTGGCACTCGCTCTGAACGACTTCTGGCTCACTCACGGAACACTTTCTGTTTCTGTTTCGGATTCGGTTTCTTTCTCATGTTGTCGTTGTCACCTTCATCAACAGCTGTTTTCTTATTGGAACAACAGGTGCATGTTGCGTCGCCTCAAAATTCCGTTGTTTTCCCCGTACTTATTTTCCTCTTCGTACCACGTGCAACTTGATGAAATGAGTCAACTGTTATTGTTAGGGTGTTTCCACTGCAAGAAAATCAAAAGATCGCTGGCTTGATATTTTGTAGCCACAACATGATCATCATTTCATCGCGAACGAGTATCTTTCGAAAGTTCGCTCAGCACACGTATTTCATGTACTATGTTCTCACCATTTCGTAGCGTAAACCCCTCTTCATCCATCATTTCACAACTAAATTTAAACAATAACCAATTACACGGATAGAATCGAGGCCACAGACAAATTGCTTTCCCCTAAAGCTGTGTACAATTTTCACAGATATCACCGGATTGCTCGGTTTCATCTGTTGTTTCGTTAAGCTTATAATGCATCTTTTTTTACCATTAGCCAACCCTTTGTGCATCTGCTTACTCTCTTCTTACAAGAAAACAGTAAGGTCATGTTACATGTGCAGCACTTTATATTCCTGTCACCATCTAAACCAAATATCTAAGCCCTATCTTGTTTCGTTTGCTCGTAAACTTTGCCAAATCTTTGATATGCTTTTCAACATCAAGCAAACGTAAAGGCTTGGAAACTCATAAACGCATGCGTTACTTCTTTGAACGGATAAAAAATGCCGATGATCATCTTTAGCAAT